AGCAGTCCATGGTATATTTAACACTCCAGCATCACAGCTCAAAGGCATCAATTCTCTTTCTATCATCCCTATTCACTGTCCAACTCTCTGATGCATAGCATGTAATTGCAAAGACTATAGCCTGGATCAGGTGCACCTTAGTCTCCAGCCTGACGTTGTTGCTCGTGAGTACTCTTGAGAGGTCCCTCACATTGTACATAGGGTTTTCAAAGGCCTGTCAAGTTGTACATTACAGGTGTACTTAACAACTTTAAATTGAAGTAATACTGGCTGTATCATAAGACAGACAGAATCACAGAAATCCTGATGGCTTGAGACTTAGGCCATCACATCAGGGGCCGGTCAGTGAGAGACGGGTGTTGAATACTGTAGGCTAAAGTAGGAAGGGATGGTGGTGGAGTAAGGAACGGGTGGATAAAAACAAAACAAAACCCAACATGTAGCGGGGATGGATAGCAACATGTATCTCTTGGTCATCTTTATAACTGGGCAAATGTCTTTCATCTGTTGTTTTCTGTAGAATATTTGTCTTTTTTTACCATTATTTAGAGTACCAAATATTTTTATTCTGTACTTTGTTTCATTATCTTTGTTGGAATTTTTATCTAAAAATGGAAATTATTTGTATTCCATACAACTTTTCCCACTTGATCTGTAGATGAATACTTATGATGCCCAAAATTCAACACTCCAGATAGCTTTTCTTTAAAAAAACATTTGTGTTTGAGTAGATTATAGAGCAAACTGATTTTTCCATTTAACAGTTCATACACCTTGTTTTGGTGATATTGTCTGCAATTCCCACAGCCTAACAGTACTCTTCCCACTTTGTGTTTCTATTTTCATTCTTCCTCCTATTTTGTCTTTTGGCTTTTTGATCTTGTAGGGTTAATAGTTTTAGGGAGTGTATACCTCCTGGTGTTACTGTTCACCCTGTCTATTGTTTGACTACAAGTCAAGCTTTGGTGATAAAGAGTAGCGTGGTTCCAGTCTTGAAGGTGAATTTCAATATTGAAATTTAAACATTTATTTCAGTGGTTTCATCAGATCAGTAAAACTTATTTTTTTCCTGGGCATTCCATACATCTTTCAGAGATTTGCTTTCATCAGATAGGATTAGGTTTCAAGAATAATTACTAAATTTGTGTTAAGATTTATTAACCTTTTAAGTGGAAATATCTTTATGAGGTTATTTCAGGCTTATGTAAAATTCCTAATTATTTTGCTGATCTGAATAAAAAACTATACCTAAGTGATTATAAGACTTTATAAAGTCTTTAACATAAAGAGACTACCTCTTTTGGGAATGGGGTGGAATTCCACTTTGTAATTACGTGTGTAAGGAGGGACAATGCAGGAGAGAAAGATCCTGGATGAGATACGTTAGAGACAGTGAGATTAGTTCAGTATAGGTCAGGGTTCAGAGCTACGTACTTAGGGACTCAACAGCATATAGCAATGAACAACAATCTCTAAGTTATAAATGTCCAACTTAAGAACAACTCCTACTTGCACTTTAAAATATTTTACATATGCTCTTACTTTAAAAGAAGTCAACTGATCTCTACATACAACTCTGTCATAATCACCTTCACTTGCTGCATATACAGCTTTTAAATTATTGGAAAGGCTTCTAGCTTTTAAGAACTATCATATACATGATTCTAACTTAACTACATATTCTTTTTTTAATTTTTTTAAACTTCATTTTATTTTTTAATTCTTTTTTGTGTGTGTGCACCATCTGCTCTTTTCTGTAGAATGCTTGTCTGTCAGATATTGTTGTTGTTGTTATGTGCCGTCGAGTCGCTTGCAAATCATAGCGACCCTATGTACAACAGCCCTAAACTCCGCTCTGTCCTGTGCCAATTGCACTGTCTCTGACACTCCCATTCCAATTATCCCAGTCACCGAATCAATCCACCTCATTATATATATTTAAAAATTGAGGCAGACTAGGAAGAAGGATTGACCATCCACTTCTGAAATGACAGGCCTTC